CTCTATGGGGGCCCCTCGGCCCCCTTCTTGCCCTCCCCTCTTCCTTCCACCTTCCCTCCTTCCCAGCTTGGGAAGGACAACCAGACTCAAGAAGGCAGCCTTGTGTCTGCTCTCCTATGTGCTTTTCCTAGCAACTGCAAACGCTGGAAGTGAAGGGACTTGGGTGATACTAGACTTTACATTTGGAATGCCACCTTTCCAGGTAGCCAGGCCCAGCAAATTCAGACAATACACATGACTATTTGGAAATGAGGCAACAAGTCAAAAAAACCCAAAGTAATCGGATTCCAATACCCATTACAGGTACAAAAAACATCTGTATTCCAGGAAAGAGCTGCAGCATTTGTTTTGGATTGCCACATCAAACAGATTCTCCCGTCACACATGGCTTGATGGATGTGGTGCCAAAAGCAGCCCCTCCCTGCCCCATTCTTGTACTGTGCAAAACGTATTACAGGAAAGGGCTTGAAACATGGACTTACAGATAGCTATGAGCACCAACATCAACACAGAACTGGGTAGTGTCCACCAGAACATGTTTCCTAAGGATATTTAGAAGTTATTTGCAATACTTGCATCATTTCAGGTGCAAACGTTTTAGTCTCTGAGTATGGGATGTGGTCTTGGGGGCTGTCTGGTTGTCTCATTTCATCCATTCCAGTTTATATCAATTCTACTTAGGGTTGAATTCAGTTTCCGAGAGGTGAGAGATACAGGGGGTGCATCTACACTGTAGAATGAATGTGTTTTGATACTACTTTACCTGTCCTGTCTCAATGCTATGGGATCCTGGGGATTGTAGTTTGATAAGTCCTAGCATTCTTTGCCAGAGGAGGCTAGAGACCTTGGAATCACTGGAGTTGAAGTGTATCAAAGGGCATTCATTCTACATTGTAGATACCCCCTTGGTTACACCTTAGTTTTCAATTTCCAATAGCTAAGTTTTGGGAGAGGATGGTATTTTCAACCTTAGAAAGACAAAATATGAGAGTATCATCCTCTAGAGCAAGCATGGGCAAACTTCGGCCCTCCAGGTGTTTTGGACTTCAACTCTCACAATTCCTAACAGCCTCAGGCCTTTTCCTTTCCTTTCAAGTTGCAAATGCAAAGTCTAGCACACAGCATTCTATTGCTGCAACTTCCAGAAATCTTTTATAGGAACATAAGAAGCTCCCTTGTAGCAGACTATTACAGTTGGCCCTCCATAGTTGTGAGATTGACTTTTTGAAGATTTGATTATTCATGGATTTGATTAACATGCTCTTTCTAGGGATCTCTGTCCTTTGGTATGATTCTGTGCTTAGCTTTCAGCAGAAGTTATAGAGTCATGTTGGAGATCTAGAAATTCCTAGAGAGATATTCTCTCAGATAAAAAATATTTAAAAGGAATGATGTTTATTGACAATTAAATAACACCAATAAACATGAAACATGAAAGCTGCAAGGGCATTAAATGCTAATCGAGGAGGCCAATTGCAACATCCACACTTGCTTCAAGCAGAGAAGAGTTCTTTCTCCCACCCTGGACAGATATATAAAGACCACTTGCCTAGTTTCCAACAGACCTCACAACCTCTGAGGATGCCTGCCATAGATGTGGGTGAAACGTCAGGACAGAATGCTTTGGAACATGGCCATATTGCCCAGAAAACTCACAGCAACCCAGTGATTCTGGCCATGAAAGCTTTCCACAACACAAGAAACACAATAAATATATGTATATATATTTAAAAATCGTGTTTTTTCACTTTTACAATGTCCTGTGTTCTTGGTCCCAGCAAATGTGGAGAACCGATTGTATTGCTAAATTTGGTTTACCATAATGGCTCTCCTAGGTTTCAGGCAGAATGATTTCTTCACCTGATCTGGAGATCTGTTTCATTCTGTAGTGGATTCCCACCCAACTACTGAACAGGACTGGTCCTGCTTAATTTCCATAATCATGATGTTGCCTGTGTTCGGGGTGGGGTGGAATTTGGAATTAATCAGCCACTATTGCTAAGTTATGTTGTAGCTTAATGAATTTGTGGCTTGCATGCAAATGATTCTAATTATTTATTTATTTATTTATACGCTTGTATACCGCTAATATCTCAGCCTAAGTTGGCGACTCATTGCGGTTTACAACAATTAAAAACAGTATTCAATTTAAAACATAAAACACATATACAATACAAATTATTATCTCAACAAATTCATTTTTACATTTGCATGTCTCCCACACAGAAAACTCTTGAAGTAGAGATGTAGCTGTCAATATGAGATGCATATCTCCCATTCTCTAAATAGACTACTCAGCACACCACTGAAAAAAACATCATCTAGAGGCCTGATGTGTAGAACAGATTTTTAAGATATGATGGCAAATCAGCATATTTCAAAACATGGACAAAATTTTTGACTTAGCAAAGCCATCCTTATCTTCACAATTCTTTAATTTCTGGGAATTAACATGCCCCTGCTTCTGCCCCTTCCCCTTCATGCTTATGAGGGTCGGCTGGTCTTTTTCTGAAGGAAGAGATCCATCA